TGACTCAACATTTAAGTCCGAAAAAGTTGTTTCAATATTGATTGAAAATGGGTTTCTTATCCATTCTTTGTTACTGTTAATTGGAGGAAAATATTATTTTAGATTAGCTTCTAGTCCTTGCAAATGTTCCTGAATAACAGCTGATATATCGTGTGGCATTAAACTTATGTTATTCTCTTTTTGAAATGCTGTCAGCATTGTAAAAGCCTCGTAATTTCCCGTTTTTATGCGACGTGACCACAAATTAAGTTTTTTTGTTGCAGCTTCCACCTTCTCTTGTACTTTAAATATTGTCACATTTTCACCTTGAAGTGCCAAATTTAAATTATTCAAAAAATCAAACACATCACAAATGTAGGCTACCTTAACTAACCAATTAGCATCATGAAATCTGTCTTTAAATTCAAATATTGCATCTTTAGATGTTGGAGGATTTTGTTATAAGAATACCGAAACTTCTTCCTTCAATTCGATTAGTCTTTTCAAGACATTCCCTCTCGATAGCCATCGTACCTCACAGTGTAAAAGAAGATGTTCATGATCACTCCCCATTTCTTTGCACAAAGCAGAAAATATTCTCGAGCTTAGTGGACGAGATTAAATAAAATTTATAAATTTTACACACTCTTGCATCGTTTCAGTTAAAGACAATGGCATTTTTTTGACCGCTAATGCCTCTCTGTGAATACTACAATGAACCCATACACATTCCGGCGCTACAGCTTTTACTCTTGGAAAAAGTCCAGTACGAATACCTGACATTGCACGTGCTCCATCGCTACTCAATCCCACACATTTTTTCCATTCAATGCCATTCTCAATAATATATCTATTGATTAAATTAAATAATTCTTCTGCTGTTGTTCTTGTTGGTAGCGATTTACAAAACAATAACTCTTCGTGAGAAGTATTTCCAAGATCATATCTTACAAAACACATTAGATTAGCATTATCCGACACGTCTGTACTTTCATCAACTTGTAAAGAAAAATATAAACACGATTTGAGGTGGCCTACTATTGTCTCTTCGATGTTATTTGCCATATCCACGATTCTACGCTTCACCGTGTTATTCGACAACGCCAACAAATTTACTTGTTTTTCCTGTTTTTTTTCGCATATTCGAGGTGAAATTATTTTCATTACCGGAAGTATTAATTTTTCACCGACTGTGTGTGGATAACCCGTTTCAGCAATTAATTTTGATATTTTATAAGAAGCCAATACAAGGTTTTCAGTTTGAGGACTAAGTGAAAACATTGAAGTCATATTTTTTTTGGCACTTTTTAATTGTCTTCTCCTGTTAATGAAAAAATCTATAGGCTTTTCTTTGTATTCAGGATGCTTCAATTCTAAATGCCTGTTCAACTTTGAAGGCTTCATGGACTCGTTTGAAAGTTCTGCATTACATATTACACATAATGGTTTGTTATCATCGCCCTCGATGAAGCCAAATTTAATGTAATTTTCAAAATACTGTCGAGTCCATGCCCCCTTTTTTTTTCGTAAGAGAATTACTTTGCGCATCGGACGACCATTTATTAGACCCAATATTAGAACTTGTACTTACATCACTCGACTCTTGGTTGGTGTTTCTTATGGAACCGGTACTTGGTTTTATTAACCACTTATCCATTATAAATAAACGTGAGAAAATAAGACGCGTATACGTATTACAATTTTAATAACTCGTCGTAGACGTGCGTCATTAGACATCAAGGTTCAAACTGAAATAAATATTTAGCCACCACTATAATAAGCCTATATCGGTAATTCATTTGTAGATAACGGATAACGGATTAGTGCCGTAACAACCAACGACGCTTGTCATTCATTTGTTACTATTATAATGTATTTATAGATACGGCGAATGTCATACTATTCGGGTTTTTCATGAAGCCTAGTTGATAATCTCAATAATTATTATTTATGTTGTAAATAATAGTTATTCGTATTAATGAATTTATTTTTACTTAAAAGTTTAAATTATCAAACGAAAATGATAAATATCAAATTTAATATGAGAATTTCATTAAATTTTGCGACCCGGTATTACATTTTTTATGGCCCGGTAGTGGGTCGCGACCCGGTATTTGGGAAACGCTGATACAATGCAATCCATTGTTTTATTAAAATTTGAATATTACTACGACTTTTCGGCATTTTAAAATTTACGAGTGTAAAAAAAATTATTAAAGAAATTTGTTTGTATACGGAATGCGGATTACGAAATTATATTTATAGGCGATTACCGACTGGCGACTACAGCACGACGCGCGACGATTAAATACCAACTAAATGTAAAACAAAAGAGCCACGATGCAGCGTGTTTATCCAATATAATACTTAAAATCACGATAATAATAATAATAATCATGCTAAAAATATAATTGTATGAAGGAAATTTATATATAACTGGTCTTCATTGTTGTCGATCGATGTGTTTCGATAAGCAAGATATGGTTTTAATACAAATTAAATAATTCCCCACAATACTTCATAAACTCATAAATCTAGTTTCTATAGTGAAATATAAATAAAATAACTATTATGTACCAAAATATGCTTTATTATGCCTAATTCTTCAAATATGCTCTCAACCTTAAAATATGCATTTATATGCAAAATAAACTTTTTTCTATAGATTCTCTGCTACACAAATCGTTCACATTTCTTACTCCCGTTGAACTGTATACACTCATTACAAATATGTAAATGCATAAAAATCCGGACTCTAATCATAACAATTCCATACACTAATGGGGATGATCGGATCTCTTCTTTGGCCTCTACGATGCAAACAGCCAATCCAGGTGCCCTCAAAGTAGTCTATAATTGGCATTAAAAGTTCTTCATTTTCAGAAAAGTATTCAGAGTCTAAAAGTTTTTCATAATATTTTATAACTTTGTTTTATGGCACAAAAGCAAGAGCAGGTAACATTCGAATATGTAAGGCAAATTCAGAATCTTGTATGTAATTTTTTTGTAATCCTGCTTCTTGTAAGTGGTGCCAAATACATTGTGATAGGTGAAAAAAACATCCATTAATGGAGGTATTTGGAAATTCAGATTTAACAGCATTCATCGCTGCTTTTAGAAATCCATCATAATAGACTTGGGATTTAAATTTTGGTTTAATGATTTCAGAGCCTTAAACATTTGTATATATGTATCTTCTTTTTTTTCGGGTAGAAGAGCGTAAGCAGAAGGGATAACATTTGAATAATGTACAGCGTGAATGGTATATAACTGTTTAAACGAAATAGGTGAACAAGTAAAAGTGCCACCGCAAAACCAATTAAGGCAATTATTCATTAACTCCAAACTATTTTTCGTTGAAAACAATAATATTCTTTTTGTATCCGATTTTTTATCAAAAAGAAGAAAATCGTCGTCATTTGTCGTCTTTGTAAATTCTTCAGGAATATCAAAACTAAAGTTTAAAGGGTTTACAGGAGCATTTAGTTTAGTTCAACGAGCACGTTGTATTGTTCTTTTCATACTAGCTAAGCTGGGTAATTGACTTGCAACCGATAAGGGAACCTAAGAAAAATATAAACATTAACGTATTGCTTTAAATTTTAAGTAAATGATAAGTTTTTATTGTAAACCAAACTTATGGAAAATGTTTAATAGTTCTAACATGACATGTATATTATTCCTATAAACATTCAGCCTAAAATTCAAATTCTTTACGCAAGTTTCGAGCACTATTTTATAATTGTAATTTAAAATTCAAAATATTTAGATAATTAAATTTACCTGACTTGCTAAATTTCCTATGACCCATGACTTGTAGCAGCGGATGTTTGTGCATCTTGTTTCATGTTATACATTAATTCCTTTGTCTCCACTTGAGCATTATCTGGTACATGATTATGTTCATAACTTTTGACAACTTCGTCATTTTCCACATGAACACGACCACCACACTTATATTTTTTATACAATGAACATTTCCAAAAAGTTTTTTTTCCTTTTGTTTATCACGGTAGAACATGTAATTTTTATGTACGAGTATATCTGTTCCACCATCACTTTTTACGTATTTTAAAACCATAGTAATTAAATACTTATTGCGGTAAAATAAATGATGGTCAAAATTACTGGTTGTACTGTTGTTTGATTTTTGTGACAGGTATGTGTTAGTATTAGTATTGTTATTAGTATATAACTACTATTCCAGAACATATTGGGGATTTATGTGCCCATTATATAATGTTCGATAACGAGATACGTTATCGATATGGTTTTAAAACTTCACACATTTCACACTAAATCAAATAGTATGTTATTTATACTGCCGTATAGATCACAAAATATATTACGTGATAATCAAGTCTTATTATTTTTATTTTTTTTTTTTTTACGAACTATTCATGCACGAACAATTTTCGTATTCGAACAATTTCCAGGCGAACATTAGACGCGCGATCTATTTTCGGCGAACAATTGACGCATATCCACCGTTCCCTGCTACGGACGTACTATTACGTTCCTTTATCTATAAAACGAAATACGCAGGTTATCACATTAGTGATTACACCGAAAAATGCAGAAAAATTAAACGAATTTAACGATATAAAAAAAACATTTCTATGTACATTGTGGTAGCAATGAAAATCAATTTAACTTATTATTTATTTCAGTGGTTACTAAAATGAAGCTGTTGTGTTCTGTGCGCGTTATCTGTAACCGGTTTACTGCTATATTAATTATAATTATTATAAATGTATACCTAACTAATAAAAAACGATTTGTGATGTAGAAACTGATTTCATTCTAAATATTCTAATATATACTGGAAGCACAACAGAATATAAAAAAACAGACTCAAGCCTCGGTATATCCGGAGCTGTGGTAAATACATTGATGAAGCCATACTTGAAAAAAGGTCACAAGCTATTCATTGATAATTGGTATACTTCACCTTCGTTAGCCATGTTTCTTTACAAAAAAAAGCAAATGTCACTGGAACTGTTAGGAAAAATCGTAAAAGAATGCCTAAACTAACATCGAAACTTGAAGTTGGTCAAACAGAAAGTCAACACACAACAACTATGCTAGCTACAAGGTGGAAAGTTAGAAGAGATGTTTACATGTTGACAACACAATTTGAAAATAAAATGATTGCTATTGGTAAAAAAGATCATCATGGAAACCAAGTAAATAAACCTCTATCTGTGTTGAAATATAATGAAAATATGGGTGCTATAAACAAAACAGATATGTTGTTGAGCTCAATTGAATGTGTGAGAAAAACCATAAAATGGTATAAGAAACTGTTTTTCCACCTGGTAGATCTATCCTTACTAAATGCATATAGTTCATACAAGACTATTACTGGAAAACATTTACCATTGGCAAGCTATCAGTTTCAACTAATCCGAGAAATGCTAATAAAATATTCAAAGAAAAGTGCTTTGAACAAAACAAGTCGTCCGCACAGCAGTGATACTGTGATACCTATGCGATTGACAGATAAACATTTTCCATCCACTGTACCACCAACATCTAAGAAGACAAATCTTCAAAGACGGTGTTATGTATGCCAAAAATTTAAAAATAAAAGAAAAGACACAACATTCATGTGTAAAGAATGCGATGTTGGGTTATGTCCAGCTTCATGCTTTGAAATATATCATACTAATAATAAGATTTGAATTTTCTACTATATAATTTGTTTTAAATAACATTATTTTGTTACAATTATACTGAATTGACTGATGACTATGTAATTATTAATAAACAGTTAAAAATATAATTTGTAGGTACGTTACCTTTTAATTATTTCAAAATCATAGTATGCGGTTCCTACGCTAGGTTTCCTAGTTTGGTTATCCCTGGTCATATAAATTTTAAACCATTAATTATAGAATAGATAGATAGTCAACGCAATGTTAATATTTGGCGACTACTCGTAAGATGCAACCGTTATGGAGCGCTGGCGTCGCTAGGATGCAAGGTGGTGGTACCTCTATCATAGATAGTCATGATGACGGGTAGGCAATCACGCGGGGTCGGCGAAAAATACCGTCGTTCTATTTATAGGATTATTTTCCATGTAAAATGAAAAATTGAAGTACCATTATATTTATTCCTATTATAATCGATAAAATTAGCGATTATTATTTTATTATCATTATTTCGTCAATATTTTACCGTTTACTCTGTGATCATACGAATTACGATTAGTCTTCACGTGAGTATTCTTCTTTGCAGTTGTCACTTGTCAATGAAAAAAGGTCTTGCTTGTTTTATATTCTAAGTATTTTGCCTTATTGTTATTTGTTACGTACTTTATATACTTGTGGGTAATTTTAAAAATGTCTGGTAACAAGTGCCAATTTTTAACTTGTGGAAAGTCGAAGAAAACATTTCCAAACTTGAGTTTTTTCCGTTTTCCCGATGATGAAAGAAGAGAAATTTGGATAATTAATTCGGGTAAATAAATGTTTTAAATTTATAAAAAGAGCTCAGGTGTTATTTTTTTGGATTATTAGATTTGTTACCAAGTTAGCTATAAACCCCTTTTATTAAGTGATACGTTTTTTTGTATAATATTTCGGATAGCAACTTATTTTGTTATTTGTATATTATTTATCAAACACATATAAACTGATTTTTTGTTTTGGAGTTTTGGTGTAGGTACCTATAATGAACAGATAAATCTATATAAAAAACTATATCACTAAGTTCATGTTAAGTACTAATTAATTAATTATAAAAAACAAATAATACCTATTTAAAATTTGTTTTAAATATTTTTATAAAAGTATTTTAATAATGCTTAAATACATAACAAAAAAAGTATTATTTATTACACTGGAGTAATAATAGTTGGATACTTTATTTTTTTTTTCTTGCTTAATTATCAAACTTTAAACTTATAATTTAAGTCAATATATATATATATATATTTTTTTTTTGACTTCAACATATTGTTCAATTTAACTAAATTAATCAATTATGAACATTAAAAAAAAAAAAAAAAAAACGCAAAAATAATTCAGCACAGATGAGTATTTTAGAAAAAAAACTTAGCAGTGAAAAGGTTAACCTAAGGTTTACTCATAAATAAACAATTAGTTTGTATTTATAAAATATATAAATAGTAAACCTCTATATAAAGTTTCGCATTTAGACACTGTGTGCTCTAGGGCAAAAACAAATTGGCTACCCTTACAAGGGTGTACACATAGGGAAATAGATCCCCATGAGATATTTAGAATTTATATATTAAAATTATATAGGGATTAAATATTACTTAGTATTATAATTTATTTATTAAAATGTTAATTTATTATTAATTAGAACAGTGATGGCCAAACTTTTTTTACCTCGGGCCATAAAAAACAACTTTTTTTTACCATGGGCCATAAAAAAATGCATTTTCAATTTTTTTTACGTAAATGCAAAATATTACAGTTATACAAATAAGTGCTGTAATATAGAAGACTTTCGCGGGCCAGATATTAAATGATGGCGGGCCGGAGTTGGCTCACGGGCCGTAGTTTGGCCACCACTGAATTAGAATATGGAAAGATACCGAATTGCTAATTATTTGTTTTATTGTAGGTATTCCTTTGACGAATTAAACATGGCTTCAGGGGAACTGTGGGTCAAGCCATTTCAAGAGGCCATTCATTAGGGATGAAACTGAATTAGAAATAAATACCTTGTAAAAAAAAAAAAACTCAATATGCTCATAAAAGTGTATATTTATATTACTTTTAGAATTAGTGATACCACCGATAATGACTTATTTACGATTAATAAATATAATTTAATTTTACCAGCTCAACAAACGTACGGAATAAAATATGATTTACTTAACTTTCTACTAAAACAATATAATTTAAAATATAAATTATGTATCGAAAAATTTTAAATTTTGAATATACATGACATTCATTTTTCAAGTAACTCCGATGGACCAACTGTCCAAGAGTCCAAATCAAGGTCTAAAAAGAAATAAAAATTTCCAAGAGGCCAATTTTGTCAACAAATATTAAATGTGGGTCAACTGACCCCCTGAACTCGCCCCCTATATCCGCCCCTACATGGCTTTTAATCAGGAGCGTATTTAGACTTACTTCTAGGAAGGAGGGGCGATTCAATTTTTTTTTTTTAATTCAGGCTCAAAATTTACAAGTAAAATTGTTGGTAATATTTAAATCAGACGAATCCTTAATATTTGTGGTTTTTTTTTTCTTTAATCTAATGTCGGATCCACATAGAATCGACTTTTGTGGATTTCTTTTTTAACACCTGTCTGTGTCTTTTGAAAGTTACGCTTGTATTTTATTTGATTTTTCACTAAGTATGGACCTGACAAAAAGCCCAATTCAGTATTCACAGCCACGCGTAATTTGATTTCGTTATAAAATGATCTACATTAAAAAAAATTTGAAATGTGTATCTCACATATAATCAAAAATGGATTCAAGGAGGGGCGATAAAAATTACTTTAAAAGTAAAAATAAACAATTGACTAAATAATAACTTTTTATTTGAGGAACTAATACCTCTCTTTCCTCCCAACTCATATTGTTGCCGCTAATGTAAATATAGTAAACTTATTTATGATTTTAATATTTTAAATACATTATAATTATGATTTATAATGTCCCACATTTAAAAAAGCTATCTGAAATGTATAGCGTAGACCTCAAATGCCTTGCTTATAAATATAAATAATATGTATATAAGTATATAATATATTATATTTATTTAATTATATTATACTTATTATTCACCATAGAAATTGTTTCATTTTGTTGTTGTTTTACATATTTTGGTAGTTCATTAATTATGTTATTATAATAAAAATATCGTAAGCCAATTTCAATTTTAAAAGTTTTAATAATTCATAATATATACAAATATATTTCAGTGAACAAATTTTTTACCACCTAAAAAATTTGGCGCCCGAGGTGGTTGTAACCACTGCTCCCTCTTAAATGCTGTCCCGTCTATATGTATATAGTTTATTTATTTTTGGTATATAAACATAAACTTAGATTACTGATATAATTATATTTATATCACACATTATTCATCTGAATTTATCAAATTAATTAAAATAATCGTAAATTTTATCATCATTTGTTTTAAATTATAGAATAACATGTATACAATATATATTTATAATAATGTAAAATAAGTAATAAGTAAATAGTGTAAACAATGTATTTTCTGAGCTTGCAATGAGTTGCCAATTCAAGTAATTTTAACTTTTATTGGTCACAGTCCAATATTTTTTCTCGCAAAATATGGCATTAGACAACTTTTAATTGTCAGCATACTTAAAATATTTCAGATACAAAAATTTTACTTGTATTTACATATTTATAAATAAAATAATATATTGATATATTTTATATTAAATTAATATACTCGACTTACACCTTGTAGTAGGTAAATTTAAAAAAAAAAACGTCTATAGAGCTGTGCATAATCTGTATATATTTAGAAAAAACACTGATGAGTAATATTCGACTGATGGATTTAATGTGTCGAGAATAAAAGTAAATTTGATTGCTCATAAAAACAGTTGAATCGATTTATGGAATATTTCGATAAACATAAAATTCGTTTAGAGGTCAAATCGGTTTTACGGTGAAAATATTTTAAATGTTAAATTAAAGCCGTATAGAACACTCTTATAGTACAGTTTGGTGTAAATCATAGAGGACTAAAGTTCAACTGCTTATCTGAATATAAGCGTACCGCCGTATTGATAGGTATAATTGTATAAATATTTTACGTTTCTTGTTAATGTATTGTTTGCCATACAAGGTTTAACGGTACATTCGCACGAGTGTCGGTTTAGATCGTTCAGTGAAACTAAACATAAAATAAAACACCCAAATCACGTTTCGAGATGTACGATTTTATGGGTAAAATTATGTTTTAAGTTGATGTAAGTGTGTTTTTTTTCCATCTTATAATTCCTCGCGAATTTTCCGCTATTTTCTTTGGCTCAGCAACCGTTCGGAGTTACTCAGCCGTTCACCGATATGACAGTGGCCAAAACCATGAACGCCATCAACAAGGGCGTACATCTATTCGGTGCCGTGCTCTTCACTTATTCGCTTTACTATTACTATACCTACGTAAACATACCGGCTCATCTGAACCCCCTGGACGAGGCCGTGGGTGGAAAATTTAAATACTTGACGTTCTGTAACTTGGTGAGCACACTATTATAATACCTACTTATAACCAGAAAATTAGACTTTAGCGTAAACTCATATTTTTATTGGTATACGATATTTTTAATCTAATAAAAAATGTATACGGTTTGGACCATTTTTAAATGAAATGCATCCAAATGGTACATTTTTTTTACATGCATGGTAAACAAATACATATTTCGTAAACACTAGAGGAAAAATTGATTTTTCCATGTGTTTTAAATTATTTTCTTTCTGTAAAATATATCAAATTAATTTAAATTTTTATAAATTTCATGTATAAAAAATATTTGGTTAAATATTTTTTTTTTTTTTTTTAATTTAATTCAATAAAAACTAGTAGTACATGTTTTCATTTTTATGTTAAATAAAAATTGTTCTATGCTTTAAGTTATAACAAATCTGTATAAGATATTCTTAAAATCATTAGATATTACTATCGCCCGAAGAGCATATTATTATTTTATCGCATAATAATTTACAGCTAAATCTAATCATTATTCATTATTATTTGTTGGTACATCGTATCATATTGCGTAGTTTTTGGATGTACAAACGGTTTAGACTCCTAGACTCATCCGCGTGTTTAATATAACGTAATTATTCTGTTTACAGGTCATACAAACGTTTTTCTATCTGTTTGCGGTGTTCATCGACCAGATTGCCGTGTACTTATGCTCGACCATCACGTCAGAATTTTTGAAAAGCTGCAAACATAATTTTTTCGCCATTTTCGCGTTTCCGCTGTCCATGGTAATAATGAAAGTGTTTTTAAATAACCAATTGAGATAAATGGCTTATAAGGCTGAATCAAATATTGTACGGATATCCGTATATAATATATATATTATACACATAGGCGTGCGCCCAGGGGAGGCAGGGTGGGCAGCTGTCCCTCCTGCGGGTTGAATTTTTCTCCCATAGTTTTAAAAAAATATTATAATTTTATATGATAAATAATATTTAAACCTAGCGTGTGCCGCGTCCTTTGCACAATGTTTTTGTGTTGTCCAACTTCGTGTATCGCGCGCTCCGCAAGATATCGTAGTGATAACGAGTCTTCATAGATACGCAGCAGTCACAGTGGTTTATTAACAGTAAATATTAAATCCCTGTAAAAGAAGAATAGTACTCTGAAAGGCTAAATGATCAATTTTTGTTTAGCAATTGTAAACAATGAGTTTTGTTTTCTTCTTTTATACAAGTATTATATTATTAAAATACAAATATACTGTGAAATTTATATTATTATATTAAATTTTGTACTTGAACTATTGACTATACTTTAGTGCTCTGCATGGTCCAGTCTAGTACGGTCCTAATCATGGAACTTAAAATCGAAATACAGATATTGCTATGTAAACAAATAAGACAAAAAAAAACCTACAAATTTAGGTATATATTTATTTATAAAGTTGGGTAGTCCAGTCCAGTGTAATCCTAAATGCTTCATATGGTACGATCTGGGCTAATACAGACTGAACCTTACGGACCGGTCCAGTGGCGCACGCAGGGGGGGGGTTAAGGGGTTGTACCCCCCCACCCCCGAAATTTTCTCCGATGTCTAGGTTAAAATTTACAAATTTTACAAGTTTGAAGTATAAAGAGCTAGTATTAAATACCTAGTATCATTGATTATAGAATACTATATTCTATTATCAATGCTATTATTTAAGTCAAAATATATTAAGGATTTGCATAATTTTTTTAATTGTAAAATGTGTTATATTTTTACCTTGACCCACCCCCCGAAAAAAAATCCTGTGTGCGTCACTGGACCGGTTCATAAACGGTCCAAAATGTTTTAAGATCGGATTAATAGTTCGGTCCACGGTCCATTTTATTAAATGTTATTTAATTACTGGTCCGGTTCGGTCTAAAATAGTATGAAACCGTTGATTCGGTCCAATTTTGGTCTTTGATTAATGTTTAAGTGTGGTTCGGTTCGTCTTCGGTCCCCTGGTAAAATTTGAAGTCCGATCTGGTTCTTAAAATAACGGACCGTGCAGAGCACTACTATACTTATATAAAATAAAAATACCTTCATCATTAAAATTAATTGAACTGATTAATAACTAAAAAATAATTTATAAAACCTATAATATAACTGAATAACTAATATGGAACAGAACTTATACATATTTATTTGTATTCCTATAAATATATATATATATATATATATTCCGCTTGCCTTCCAGCAAGGTCTGCGCATGTTTATGATTATACGTAATATATTCACAGTTTCCCTATAGCATAATTCTTAGATAGCCAAGACTTTATCGTATTTACAGCTCTTACTAGATTTTTATAACACAAAAACGTATGAAAATCCTCATACTCAGAAATTCTACAAACAAAATACTTTTCAGTTTATGTCACCACAAAAACTAAATATATTTTAATATCATCAATAACTATTTTTTACATTTAAATTCATAAATTATGACATTTATGAGTTAATGGCCAACTAAGTATCTTTGTAGTCGAAAGTTACTCGTTTTGTTACAATTACCTACACAAATTTATAATTTTCATAATTAAGCTGCATAGAGTTTAATCGGTTTGACCCTTAATCAGACTAAAGTTCTATTTATTGAGTATACAAATATGTAGTTTTAGAACAATTGATTTATACTTTATAGCTAAACAGCACTATATATATTATATCGTTTATACAGCGTATTCAATATAAATTTATCGATTATAAACCTATTTAAGATAAAGTACAAGTCTAAAAGTCTTATTTATATTAATTGAACGAGAGCCGGCTTTTTTGCGTTTATTTTTATCTAATGTAACTGAAATATTGCAATAAATTCTAGCAGTTTCAATATTTGTGCATAAATAAAAAAAAACAAAAATTATAATTAATTCATAGGTATATACAAAAATTGCAAACACCAGCCGATCAATCGTTAATGTATTATATAGCCTATGCTCTGTACTTAATGTACAGAATATGTACACAATTATCAGATTGAATCTTAATACAATCGCAGACAGAACTAAAAATAAAAGTTAAGTATGGTGTATAAATTTAATGTATATAAAAATTGTATACGATAATAATATAATAACAAAATATTTCAAGATAATTGTATTTTACTATAACAAATTTACGGATAAAAAAAAATACTAATATTTGAGTAAAACTTTATATTTAATTATCTTCATCCATTTTTTTAAAAGTATAAAATCATTGAACGTGATAATGTTGATAAAAATTAAACGTGATAAATTTAAAAAAAAATATTTACACTTAACATAATAATATAATAATACAAGTACCTTTTTATTATTCTACAGTTTATTGCTGTAAGCTTTTGGCCGTTGTGGTTTACTGACAAGACCTTAGTAATGCCAATGCATTACGATATATACTTTCCAACCTGGTTGAATCATGTTACACATGCCCATATTTTTATATTTGCAATATTAGAAATGATCACGACTTATCGAATATATCCATCCAGAACAATTGGACTATCATCATTCATTGCTTTTAAGGTCGTCTACTTAATTTGGTAAGTACCTTTGTATTTTAAACGAGTAAGTACTATTTTTTTACTAATAAAAGACCAATTCATCTGAATCAGAGCTTAAAAGAAGTTATAACACTGGTAGGTACTGGTAGTTACTGGTAGTTCAGAAACACGTTGTATATTATTATTTTTTTAAATAGAATTCATTAATGTTATTAAGTATATTTTTGACTTTATCCACCGACTGACATATTCAGTTTACATTCTCAACCAATAATTATTTCAATCGTTTTCATACTTTAAAAATAAAAATAAATTATTATTAGGAATTATAAATGGTTGAAACATGGAGATAATTCTTTACTGGAATCGGATAATTTAATATCATCAGTTTAATCATTAATTTGTATAAAAATTATATTATAGAATATCAGATATGAATTATAGAGCTAAACTTCAATGGTCACTTAAGATAAATGAAAATATTATATTAAATATACAATATTGTTATGGTTATCTTTTTAATATTTTAAAACAGTACATTTTTCAATTTATCTAGAACGTTTAGTCTTTAAACTAAATGAAAATATTAAATTTAGTATAATAACCATACACGTTTTTGTTTGTACTGTTTATCAAATGGAATTATTTTTTATAACTTTTAGAGTTACTTTGTTATATTGTATAGTTGAATTCAAGACACAGACTTCAATATACTAGTGATTACTAAAAATTATGGTCTTCAGACAATAATTAAATTTACAGTACAGTTAAATTATTATTATTCAAATTTGATATAATTATGTTCATAATATACGCGTAAAAATATAAATATACAGTACTATTATTGTAAACGCATAAAATAATACTCAATAGTCGAATGTTTTTTTTTTTTTTTTTTTTTTTTTTTTTATGTCTGGGCTTGAGTAGGGAAATCTGAAAATAGAACATGGAAAGATGTCATTTGGAAAGTGATGGGCTAGAAAATACAAACGAATTTGTGTGTGAATATCAGAGAGAGAAAAACGGTGAAGCCAATAATGTTATGTACCTAGAATGAATAATGAATATAAATTATTGAACACCGTAATATACATGATCGCGATGAAAAAATAATTGTAGAATACTTTTTATTAACATATGTAAATAATATTGGAAAATACGAAAAAACAAATTGTCAATATAATAAAATTTAAACTACATCATGTCTTTAAGTTAATATTTTTTTTTGACACATCAATTAATAATGATTATAATTAATATAATAAAAACATGATTGTAAATATTTTGGCGGCTACCATTTTATAACTTGTCAAGAACAAAAAATAATAATTTTTGATTTGTCTTCTAAGTAGTCATGTTATTAAAAATTTATTTTATAATTATTCATGATCTATTTACATGGACGATCAACGTAAGTATAAAAATTAATAATTATAAATAAAACATGTTCGCAGGATTAATTATATATTTTACAAAAGTGGAATGTGGGTTTACCCAATTCTTGCAAAGTTAAACTTACCATTAAGAGTGATGTTCTTCACGGGAACCTTTTTATACGCTCCGTTTACTTATTTGGTCGGCGAACACATTAATAATGTTTATTGGGGCGCTAATCATTCAATCGTAAGTTCAACAATTAGTATTAAATTATTATGACGTCGAATCAACGATCCGACATGTATTAGTATAACTCACTCAAGGCTATTTATCATAAAAATTTAAGGGTTCGCAATCCTCCATCCCATCACATGGACAATGAAGGGCAAATATCCTCAAAAAAAATTTACTTTTTTATTTAAATAACTAAAAAAAACGTTTAGAATAATTATTATTATTATCATTATTTTTTTTTACAATTAGTCTTGACTATGAAAGGAGAACAGATAGCAATAAAAGCATTAATTGAAAATAATTGTTAGAATAGTAAATCATGCAATAATGTTACAAATGTAAAAATGTTTTTTAGTCACGGCCTTGAATGGATTATACTACAAAACACATAAATGTAATTTGTACTTACATGTTAATCTACATAATTATAATTCATTTCAGAAATCAAAAAAATTGAAGGATGAAAAGAACGCATAACTACTAATAATGTTAAATGATGACAAAACCTACATGTGTTTATTAAAGTATATTGAAATATGTACTAGTAGTTGTTCGTTTAAATTTGAATGAAACATTGAAAATATGTTTCAAACGATATTTTGTTGTTATAACTATAAATTACATTATGTAATGTTATTATAATTGTATATTACCTACGCGAGAGATATTATTTATGTGTATGTATGTCAACCATGGATTATCGTTGTATTGTTGATATTGATAAGTTAAATGCTTTAATTTTAATCCAAGTGTAGACCTAATAACGTTTTGATTTACCTCAAATATGGTAATAATAAAATCTGTATACAAATCAAAAAATTTTAGAGGATATAATTTAGGCACCAACAGCACTGAATAACCAAAACGAAAATTTATTCGTTTTACATGACCACTCAAAAAATGAGCCACCATTTTGAAAATATCAGAGATTTGAATGATAATAAATAATAAGTATAACATTGATTAAATATAGTTAAACAATTCAATTAATTTGATCTTCAGTTCATGAAATTGAAATTTTAATATTATAATTTCTAGTTTTTTTAAAAAACGGATTCTTGGAACGTATTAATTTTAAAAGAACCAAGTATATTTTATAAAATATGAATGAGAAACAGAACGAATCGTATTATTCCGGAAAAATGAATAAGACTTTATCTATGGACGCCCATATATACAAGAGTTGTGATTTTTACTCTATTATAGTCACTATCTGTCTGTACCATAGAGTAACATTATTACTCCATGGTCTGTACCTATATCAAAATAATAAAAATATCAATAGTAATTGTTGTTAGAACTAATAATAGTAATAAGTCTTAATATTATGCTCCATGCGTGTAATTAATTATTAAAAATATTGTAAAATAGTATTTTTAAACAATTTGGTTTTTTTTTCACGAAATTTATCATATAGCGTGATCAATCGCAATACGAACAGACCGCGTACAAATTTGTTATTAAAATGTTTATTGTGTTCTGCAGGTCGTTATTTTCTGTCATCTATCATATATTATATGTATAATGAAACCGTACAATACATCTTTTAGTCAGATATAATATGTTTAAAACACCTGTCTGTTTTTTACTCGAGCATAGAAAAAAACCATGCACCGACGAACGTGAATTCTTAAAAGCACGTATTACATTCAATGTATCGAGTATAATTGCCGTTAACACTTGATTAAATAATTTTTTTTTTTTACAACAATTACGGTTCCCATTTGGCAAAATACGCCAATTGTAACAGTTGACGAAAATTAATATCCATGTGACCAAACCTTATCTTGAGATATTTATAATTTTTTTTTTTGCATTCATTTTGAACTTACGTAATTTGCATGAATTTGTTTGACAGGTTACGATTTATGGCATTATTGTACATGCAATAACAAAAAAACTGTTGTGGGATGGTAGTTTGAAACAAATTTCTTCAGTCTCTGATTATTTAAAACCTCGACGGATCAAGCATTTATTTTAGGAAATTTATGATGCTATTTATATGATTTTTATACCAATCTCCAGAATTTCTGCGTCAAACGTTTAATTATATCTATTAAATTAAATATTGGAAAAAATATTGTAATTTAAATATAAACTTTATAACTCTAAAGGAAAAAATGAAGGGTTCCCTGAGTATCTAGAGAAAATTTGCTTTGAAATATTTACTATTGAAAGAAACTTACATATATTTGATACAAATGTTGAAAATTAATAATAAAATGTAGAGTATTGATAGTTTAATAAAAAAAATAAAATAAAAAAATGACAGTTAAATTCGTGCCGACTATAGGTCGAAATTAATACTGGACTGGGACAAATGTCCCAGTTGCCATCCCCCAAATGACGCCACTAGTTTAATTGTATAATACAGTAAAACATATCTAAGCCATGTAAGACTCCATAAAATAAAATAAATATGAATATATTCAATGAAAATTATGAATAAACTTAAAAACACATATATGATCTTATTTTTTTTTTTTGTTACAAGGTATACAAAGAGATTATATAAGATTATACAAGATTATACAAGGTATAATCCAGTTTCAGTCCTAATAAGTGGCTTCTTGAAAATAGTTTGACCCACAGTTCTCTAACTGTGGATCTACCCCTGCCTGCTTGTTATTTTATTTGCATTATAGATTTTCTAAAATAGTCTTGTGACTTTGATCAATAATTCTATTATTGTGTTTGGCTATTTATGTTTTTTATGTAGGTATCCTGTGAATCGTGAGTATAATTCAAACTTATTAAAAATTACTCTATTATTAACAATATTTACAAAAAAATAACTAACTCATCTAGGATTTAGGAATTATAACACGGACGTCAGTAGTTAGGTAGGTACTTAGGTGTAGGTACCTAAGTAGGAAGGTAGAAGTGCCTGTGCGCGATCAATGTTATTTGTTCGTAAAACATTAGGTAATGAATTTAAAATAATATTAATTTCTGTGGGAATTTAAACAAAAATATATCATTATTACGAATTTGATAGAAATATTGTTCGGAGATACCTCAATTATTACCTTCTGCCGCTATAAGCGCTAGCTGCTGTAAACTCGTCCGTTTCGCATTAGTGGTGTTACCGCAACTCGGTCGCGCAGAATAGTCGAATAATTTTTACGGTGATGCTAAAACAATTTCGTCATTGCACGACAACACACTTTAGTACCGTAAATCTACGCTATAGTGCTGTTACTCTAATACGCGAATGTCCATATGGTTGAGTGAATTCCATGATGTTTACCAATTATCATTTATCATTGATAAATCGATACGGACTCGTTAATAACAGTCATTAGTGTTATTGTTATTATTATTATCATCATTGTTATTCATCCGTCCGTCCGTTTATTGATACACTCCGTATGTTCATTTCGCCGGTCAACTCGTAATGGGATCATCGAAACTACTCTTGTCAAATGCAAAACAATCGGATCGCTGTCATTAGTCGTATTTCCGCTACGAAATAAGAATGATTGACTGTTGCAAGTTCGGTAATGCGATGTCTCTGTGATATTCGAGTAAGTTATACAATTTTTTAATTACACATTTTAATTTTGATTCGTTTCCCCTTTTCGAACGATTGTCAAAATTATTGTATGTTGCGAAAATTGGCTAAGGTTGTCGTTAAAGTTGCACTATGTGTGATCGTAATTTTTACAGTAACCCATTATTAATATTATTATCTGACTACAGGATGTCAAACAGTAATAATGCATCTCCTAGTCGTATACCGAAGCCTCATTGGATGCGAAGTTCAAGTAGGTCGCCAAAGATCCAAAGACATCAAAGTCTAGTAAGTGTATTATATTATTTTTTTTTTTATTATTTACCAGTGTAGAAATCACCATGTTCTTAATATCTTATAAATATGCATATTATTATTTTGCAACAATTAAATTTTATGTGTTGACTGTTGATGTTGTATGATAGGTACTTATTAAAAATTATAAATTATTATATATACAGTACCTAGTGTAGTTTCCCTTAAATACATTTAAAATAATCAATTTTAGTAATACACCTAATAATAAACTGGCTATTTTCATTCACATTTAATTTTTTTAATTAATTAAGTAATATTTATTTATTTTCAATTTACTAAAGTATAAAATAATACATACACATTGATACATTTATAATTTATTATTTATTTTTAATTTACCAAGTAATAAATAAGTATACATGGATTCATTTATAATTTATTATCTTGGTATTAGTTTAATAACCCTTTTAAGGGAGGCAACGTATGGAATATATAATGAAAAAAATATTTACTATTTGGAGTTTTGACAAAATAATTATTCATTTTATAATTGTGAAAATTATTATACAGTACATTTGAATTATATATTTTAAAAATTATTTACTGTACTTGCTGTATTGGTATGCCTTCATCCTAAATAATTTATAGTTAATAACAATGTTTCATGACCTTCCTCTTAATGTTGATGTTAGTATTTTCTAGTTTTTAATACTTATTAAAGCCATAGAAAATGTATAAATACATTATTTTCTAAATGTTCCTACCATATAATATATATATATATATATGTATTTATACTTAAATTGTTCTTCATCCAATTAAATATATTAAGTATTATTCTGAGTTTAACTGTCCAATTATTAATAATTTGTATTCAGGCTATTAGTTACATGTTAGGTATGTTATTTAAGAAGATAATTTATACACAATTCATAAAATATTTCGTTTCGTTAAAATTATTGATTCATTTCAATTATAAATATTATGTATTATGTATTTTTAAGTAATACGAACAATTTAATTTTAAAAATTAGCCGGTAGTTCATGTTTTTAATTAGTTTTTTGACACATTTTATCTATGGATGTATAAATTAAATATTAGCATTAAATGAGAAAGCCAGCAGTTTAAATGAATTGGATAAGAGAATGGATGATTGGAATGAAACGAGAGTTAAGAAGAAGATTAGAATCGGGAGATATATAGCCACAAGAAGAAAGAAAAGAGAAAAGGAGTTTTCTACTAGTTATGAGAGAAGGGCAGTTGAAAAGGATGTGATCAAAATCACATATTGATTCATTGTGATGTATACAGAGAGGGGAAGAGTTTAGATTAAGTTTAGAAGAATGGTGAGGAAGTAAGCTATGACCAATTCGAAGACGAGTGTAGGATACGATCAGGTGTCTAGAAATCTCGAGGTCTTTAAACCATGGATTTTTGGTGATGGAGAGAACTACGTATCTATACCATGCAGCATAGTTAGGTGGAAGAAAGTCCCGTTTAGTTTGCCAGGCATTGCGCAATAGTTTACAGTAAATCGGAAGAAAGTCTGAGGCAGGTGTTTTAAAAGGAGAAAGATAGATGAGGGACTTAGTTAAAAAGGCTAGGTGGTCGGCTCGCTCGTTACCGGCTATACTGACATGACTAGGGATCCAGAAAAACTTAACTGTTTTATCAGCAAGACTAAGACGATATACTAAGGATTTAATGATGAGAACCAGAGGAGACAGGGACAATAAGAATGAATCAGAGGATATGGCAAGAAGACATGAACTACCTTTAAGTTATTTTTTAGATTGTTGGTTTTTCTATAAATAATTGAAAAATTGAGGTTAAGTTAGAGTTGGAGACATTAGGATTACATGAAACACAAACTATCTCCTAAGGGTTTCTTGGTCATAAAGTATGTGGACCACTAATTTAGATTCTAGGTAGATCTAGTATTTATTTTGCTATGTATATTTTTAAACAACTAAAAATGTTGTATTTTATAATTTGTGTATATTTTTACTTATAATATGTACTGAAAATAGGTCGATTAAAAATAGTTATATCTTATATTTATTTTATTGGATATTATTAAATACCTATTAGTAACTGTTTTTGTTTTTAGCAAGCATTAAGTACTTATGAAAAAGATGATGATTGTGCGTCTGAAAAAAGTTTTGGTAGTACAACTAGCAGTCAATGTGATAATGGTCATTCTATGTTTGCACTTAATGGTACTACTTATTCCAACCGAAAAAAAGGGTATCTACATTACTGTTCCTCAAATATAGGCAGTGAAGAATATCTTACTCCAACACAAAGATCTAGTCGAACTATTAGGAATCTTAGAGTAAAATAAAATTATTTTAACAAATGATACTTGATAATTATAGTAGATATTGAATCATTTAGAGATTGCTAAATGATGCTCATAGTGAACTCAATGACAAAGACACAGAGATTGATCGGCTAAAATTAGAGAATAATGAACTTAAAGTGAAATGTGGTTATGAAGCTGTTAATAATTCAATTGCAGAAGGTGACGAAGATGAAGATGGTGCTAGATTTATATCAAGTGCAGAACCTACACCAGAACCAGATTCAAAGTAATTATTTGTTTAAGAACATCTATTTATGATATTTACTGTTTTTATTAATATATAAATAAATAAACAAATACTTTACTTATAGAAACAAATAAATAAAAGCTTATCTTGGAGTATTATTATATTTGTACAGTACGACAGATTTTGAAATAAAAATTCATCATCAGATATATACATAGATAATAAAAATTGTATATACCTGATGATGAATTTTTAATTTGAAACCGGTCATACTTTACTAATATAATTATACTGCAGGTTAAGCTCTTATTTATTTATTCATTTCCATCTATTAATTTTTTTTGTTTATTTAAATATTAATTTACAAGTATTAACCATTTAATAATTTTTAATTTTTATTATTTTATTACTCTTTTTTTTTAAATTATTTTTTATGTATTTCAAATATTTTGTTACAGTAAACTATCCAGAAGTTTTTTAAATCCATCACCATCACCAGCAGATTCAGGACATGGTGATGAGTATGATGAAACTAAAAAATTACGCCAAGCTTATGATGAATTACGAGAAAAGCATAATGACAAAATAGAAGAATTATTAAAAAGTTTAGGAGAACTCAATGAAAAGTAAGATAATTTTAATTTACTGTTATTATTGTTTCGTAAATAGTATAGTATACTAAATAGTATAGGATCTATTGTATTTATTAAAATTTTATATTTTTGTTTATTTTTGTAGGTATTATGGATTAAAACCAAAACTTGATGAAGCATATATTAGAATCAAAGAACTTGAAAGAGAAAATGAATTTTTAAAGTGGTCTAAAGTTGTACAAGATAAAAATTGTGATAATACTTCTGACTTAATAAAAAAAACATTTAGAGACATTCTTACCCAGACTCAACCAATATTACTTATAGATAAGGTTTGTTTTATTAAAAAAATAATTATTTAAGTTTTTATATTTTTTACAACTAACATTTTCATGTTTTTAGAAGACTGAAACCGATCAAACATATAATGATAAGTTTTGTGATGCTAATACAATAAATTCTACTCAAAATTCTTTTCATAAAGTTTATATTAGTAAAAATAGTTCTGCTATAATTCCGACTCAGACTCAACAATTTGTATGTGTAGAAAAGGTTGGTATTATTTACTAAATTGTTTAATATATTTTAAATATTTAAAATAATTTAATTTTTAGAATACAGAGACTGATGGTCAAACAGATGAAGATAGTATTGATGAATTGAGTAATCTAAAATTAGAACTCAAAAAAACCAAAGTGAGATTTAATATTAATAACGATAATATTATATTTATTAAATTTTATTTTAACATTCTAACTTTCTTCCTGTGTTTGTGTTTACTAACATTGTAGCAATTTCATTTACAAATTATTACTGTACACGTTTGTCCCGAGTAAATATTTATTTGTGTAGAATCTTTTTAGAGTATGTTTAAAATTTAGGGACGTAGCCAAAGTGTTGGTGGTGCTTTGTTATCTGGACCGGAGGCCATTGCCCTTTGGATGATTGGAACAAAAAAGGTTCGTCTCTAAGATCCCCCTTATCCGCGAATTGATTTGCATTTTAATTTTGATACGCATGGGAGTTTAAGCGAGTTGTACATTGATCTTTAATGGTTTGGATTTATACTACAAATTCTATCTTAAATATTTTGTTTTTCATCTTATGAGTAGTTTTTGAATAAGTCGTTTATTGTGTAGGACATAAATAAGTACCACTGCTAATTTATTTTATTTTTATTTTTTTCTTAAAAAAAAATACATAAAAATGAATGTGTTTATTTTTATTATTTTATTCCTCACAAGAATACCTCATGCCCATTTATCATCTGTTTTAATTTATAAGATTAACATTCTGGTCAATGTGCGTAAGTGAATTTTTTATTTATCTTATGATGGTATTTAAAAAATTAGAAATAAACAAATTATTTTATACAGTTATTATTTTTTGCTAAGTATTATTTTTTGTAAAATAAAAATAGAATCTAAGCTGTCTAAATTTATTTATTTAAGCATAAATGTGAAATTGTTATACCATTGAAAGAGCTTTTGCTAATTTTTTTCCTTAACATGGTTCTTTGCTTACTGCTCATTGTAATTAAGACGTTGATAATAGGTGATGCCCAATTTTGTTTGTTTTCATCATATTGCCTACTCTACGTTTGGCATTATACATAATACGTAGGCAAAGCTCGTATTATGAATATTGCTGAGTGATTTTTGGCATTTTATACAATGCCTAGGCATTTTGTAAAATACTGGATTATCCATATTGCCGGTAATATATATATATATTTATATACATATATAATTATTTATTTTTAAGTATAAACTATTTGTTTATATATTAATTTACGAGTATTAACCATTTACTAATTTTATTTTATTTTTATTATTTTATTGATAAATAAATTAATATTTGAATTATTGTTACCTATTCATTAATAAATGTAAAATATATTGAATATGATGCTATAGATACCAATCATAAATAATTAGCTTTATTTGTACAGGTGAAGCATTTTCTAATCATCACTACTATTCTTTCCTGGTAGTATGTGCATTAAAATATATTTTTGTTTAGTTGTTTTGTTTTATTTTTTTAAACATTTTTATGTAGATAAACAAAATTATAGAAAAGTATGTACATATTACCACAGTTACTATGCACTGCCTCTTCCTGACTATGGTTGACTGGAGCTGACTTTTAGCTTTACAAATGAATGTCTTTATATTATTTACTAACTATAGTTAATATATATTTTTTATATGTTTTGCAGGCTATGTATGAAAGTATGCTTCAACAGCAATTGGAACAACAACGTCAACGGCCAATAAATGATGCTGAGATGACGTTACAATTCTTAAAATCTTCATTTTATTATTATCTTACTGATTCTTCAAATACTACTGGACACTTGAATGCTATATTAAGCATTCTTCGTTATTCAGAAGCTGAAAAGAAAATAATCGAGAGAAATCAAGCTTGGAAATAGTATTTTTTTTTTACCCGGTTTAAAATGTATTTTTGAATTTTAAATTTCTGCAATTATTGATTTACTGTTCAACTTAATTTAACTATAAATTTAAAATAATTTTTAACTAGATGTTTACTTTTATAACCACATTTCACTATTAGTTTGTAATTTTTAATTTTCTTTTTTATCTTTATTAATTTATTTATTATTATTTTTTTTCTTTGTGTTAAATTATAATAAAATCCATATTTTGGTTTTTTTGGGTGTTGTGTGATTTATTTAATACATGTTATTATTGTTTTAAAAAAATATTTGTTGTTTACATTTTACTACTTTTTTTGGTTCCAGTTATAGTTTGAATTATGATATTTTATTTACTTTTACATTATTTGTGATATTTTTCATGTTATTTGTTTTTATCTGATATAAGTCATATTATTTTAATATAAGTAAATATTTTAATTTATTATTTTTATTTATAATTAAATGGTTATTATACTGGTGTAAGGGCGCCCAACTACAAGTTGTTATTATATTATAATATACCATATAATAGTTCAATTGTTTCCATTTTTTCATTATTATTATTAAGAAAATTGTTCCCGATCCCTTTGATCGATCCAAAATAGGACGTGCAATTCAGGACCACGTATATTCAGTTGCGTACGGCAAATACGCAGGCGTTTTGCCGCGTCGGCTTAAGGGGGCTGGAGCGCTGCATGTTTTAAGGAATAATATTTAGGCAATTCATATTACATGTACATTTGGAGTGTATCGATGTGTGAGTAGTAAATGAACATTAGTGTGTGTAATCCGTTATCGCATTATTGTTATTATCTGTTGTCGCAAATGGCCAGCGACTAAAATACGAATTCCCGGAACATACGCCAATGTGCTAAGCGTGTACCCCAAAAAAATAAATAACGAATATATCATCAAATAGGTTTAAATAATTAGGTTATACTATTATACGGTAATATTAGGGATGGCAGAAGACACGTACGACTCGGGCGACCGTATAGGGCTGCACATTTTTTTTTTTAATAAATACTTAGCGCCGGCTCTGGCCTATTTAACTATTTTTTTGTTCTTTTCAAATTGGTGAAAAGAGGTAAAAGCTGGAACAAAATTCGTCTAGTTCTGGTAATCCGATTATATATTTTTTAATATATTCTAATTTCTCAACTTTTCTTCTATGTTTTGTAGGAAACGGATTTTTGATTATAGTTCAAGTTATTTAATAAAATGCATTCAAATTTTTATTTTTTTTTAAAAATTAGCATACAAGTTAATAAAAAATTAAGAAAAAATAATAAAATTGTGGTTCCTACAAAACATAGTAAAGAAGCTAACAAATTTAAATATTTTTTCAAAATTTAAATCGGACAATTAGAACTAGGTGAATTTTGTTCCAGCTTATTGGTCCAAATGCATGAAAAATGTAGGCTGCTCCAGCCGCCTTAAGCGCAAAACAAATTGTCTTGCTGTACTTTTGTTCTTTGTGGTTTTTTATATCTGAGTTCACATTTCGCTATTACTATATTGTGATCACTGTCACAATCAGCACTCGGATATGTTTTACAGAATTTAACTTGATTCTTAAATCGATTTTTTACCAGTATGTAATCTATTTGGTAGCGGGCAATATCACCTGGCATTTTCCATGTATATATTCTTCTCTTAGGGTTTTGAAATCTGGTGTTTGTTATAATCATCCCATTTTCTCTGCAAAACTCCACTACCTTTTTCCTCTTGCATTTCTTTTACCTAAACCGAAGTCTCCGACTTCTCTACCTTCCCTGCTATAGCATTAAAGTCTCCCATGATGATTACGTTATCGTGTGGTTTAGTATGTTTCATTAGCTCTTCAATATATATATATATATAAATAAATAAATATTATATAATTCACAAGACACAAAATATAATTAAAACAAAAATAAATGTAAGAATAACGGCTGATGTACGCGAGTGTTTGTGTATGTGTGCGTGTGTGTCGATCGGCTGTTGTTTCGCCACCGATGGTATATCATATTATAATTATATTTTTATTACGGTGGCAACAAAAATCGTTTAATATTTTTTTTAATTAATAAATTAAACAAATTATAACATAATAAAACATACAATTTCTTTTTTTTTTAACTAACAAATCTATCTATCTATCTATCTATCTATCTATCTATACTATATATAAAATTGTAAGGATTTTTCTTCGACCGCGCTAACCGAGAAAACTACTGAACCGATTTGGCTAAAATTTTTTTTGGCTGAAACCCGACACTCTGCTGAAGGTTTTAGTACCACATTTGTTAGTAAAAGAATTCATAAAAGTTCATAAAAAATTAAAAACAATTGTGCCTATATTGTGCGAGTAACTATATTATCAATCCGAGATTGATTATTTAAATATTAAAGCGCTTCAAATTGGACGAATAACTATATTATCTCCTAAGTGCCATGCAAAAAAATGGAAAGATGAAACCCATGGACTATGCTGCGCTGACGGTAAAGTTGTTTTACACCAATTTGAGGATCTTCCAGACCTAATAAAAAAGTTTAATTGATAATTCTCACCCTCAATCAAAACATTTCTTTGATAATTCTAGACGGTATAATATTCTGTTTCAAATGACATCGTTTGGAGCAAACGAAATAGCTGAAGAAAACTTCATGCCCTCTTTTAAAATTCAGGGTCAAGTGCATCCTTTAATAGGTAGTTTATTACCCGAAATTGGAAATAATGTTAAATTTTTACAAATATATTTTATGTCAGAGTCGGATCAAATATCTATTTGAACAAATATGATTCCAAATTTAAAAAGAGGTCTCATTGAATCATTGCAAACAGTTTTGCGTGGAAATAATCACCTCATACAGAGCTTCAGATCTAATCTGGAGTCGAGGTATTTTGATGAGTTGCAAAACTTTAAGTTAATTATTCATGCTGACAGAGTTCCTCAAGATGAAGACAAAGGTCAATATAATGCACCTACCATCGATGAAGTAGCTGTATTATTAGTTAATGAAGATAAAGGTTCCAGAGATATAGTTCTGCACGGTCGGAGTGAACACTTGAGTCGAGTTTTCGAATTGAATAGATCTTATGATGCACTGCAATATCTATTGATGTATACTAGAGGCGAAGACGGTTATCACATTAATATTTTACAGAAAAATAACCAAAATCGAACAAAAACTGTCTCCTGCATGCAATTTTATTCTTATAGATTTATGGTTAGAGAAACAAGTCTAAATCATCTACAATATTATAAAACATTATTCAGCCAATTTGCCGTAGATATGATGGCAAAAATGATTTCTGAAAGACTACACTTTATTCGTAACCATCAAAAACAACTACGTGCGGATGATTATGTTCACCTCCGATATGTTGTTACAGTGATGCAAATATTAATGCTAATAACGTGGGGCAACAAGTAATTCTTCCCTCCTCTTTTACTGGCTCCCCACGTTACATGCATGAAAAAAATCAGGATGCCATGACTTATGTTCGTAAATTTTGCCGTCCAGATTTATTTATTACTTTCACATGCAATCCGGAATGGCCGGAAATAAAAAATGAATTATTTCAAGACCAAAAGTCGTTTGATAGACACGATATAATCTCTAGAGTTTTTCATCTCAAACTAAAAAAGTTTATGCATGTATTAAAAAATAAATATATTTTCGGTGATGTAAATTGTTATGTTTACAGTGTTGAATGGCAAAAACGAGGTTTGCCACACTGCCACATCCTTTTGTGGTTACAAACGAAAATTCAGCCAGATGAAATTGATAAAATTATTTCTGCCAAGATACCAAACAAAGACAGAGATCCTATACTTAATGAAATAGTATGCAAGAATATGATTCATGGCCCATGCGGCGAGTTAAATATTATATCGCCATGTATGAATAATGGAAAATGTAGTAAGAAATACCCTCACAAATTGGTCAAGGATACTCAAACTGGAGATGATGGTTATCCGACTTACCGACGGAGATCACCAGATGATGGAGGTTATACTGCAATATTAAAAGTTCGCGGTCAAACCAAAATCGTGGTTGACAACCGTTGGGTTGTACCGTATTGTCCAGTGCTATCTAGGTGCTTTAATGCGCATATTAACGTAGAATACTGTCATTCGGTTAAAGCGATAAAATACATATGTAAATATAATAAAGGATCAGATAGAGCTACTTTTTCTGTTAATCGTGAAAACGATGAGATTACAAATTATTTGAATGGTCGATACATATGTACTTCTGAAGCGTTTTGGAGAATTTTCAATTTTGAAATCCATGATAAAGATCCGACAGTTCAGCACTTGGCTGTTCATCTAAAAAATGGACAGCGTGTTTTCTTTTATGCTAATAATCATCATCAAGTTATTGAAAATCCAAAAAAAACGACAATAACTGCATTTTTTGAACTGTGTTCACATTATGATTTTGCGAAAACACTGTTCTATCATGAAGTTCCTTCTTATTATACCTGGGATGATAGCAGAGGCTGGTTAAAGAGAATACGGGGAAAAGATGTTCCAGGTTGGCCAGGAATAAAAATGGACACTGCCATTGGTAGAATTTACACGATTCACCCAAATCAAAGTGAGTGCTTCCATTTAAGATTGTTACTAAATTATGTACAAGCCTTTGATGGAGTCATTCACACGACTTTTAAAGCTACCTATTTTGCTCTTGGGATTTTAGAAAATGACGAGCAATGGAAAAATGTTCTAGCGGAGGCAACTCTTTCAGAAAGTCCTTCAAAATTAAGAGAATTATTCGCAATAATCATAGTTTTATGCCAACCGTCTGAACCTCTATCTTTGTGGGAACAGTTCAGAAATGATTTTTGTGAAGATATTCTTCATACAGAGCGCACTCGATTAAATGACTTGCAATTTATTTTTTCTGATGAAATATTTAATAGAGGTTTGATTGAAATAGAAGATAAAGTTGTTTGTCTGTCTGAAAAATATTTAACTGAATTTGGAATGAACTCACCTGTTCGAAATGAAAAAGCATCTGATCCTTTTGAATTCTCAATTTTGCGTTCTTACGATATAATAACCGATTACAAGAATTTGTAGAAATCAATTTACCAAAATTAGTAAATGATCAAAAATATGCTTTTAATGTTATTACAGAAAGCGTAATGAATCATCAAGGAAGAGTTTTTTTTTTAGATGCTCCGGGTGGTACAGGAAAAACATTCCTAATTAATTTGTTGTTGGCTCAAATTAGATCCTCAGGTAAAGTTGCATCAGCGGTAGCTTCATCTGGTATAGCAGCAACTCTCCTTAGTGGCGGCAGAACTGCTCACTCGACTTTCAAGTTACCGTTAAATGTATTATTTGATACAGAATACGTTTGTCCGATTCGTAAAAATGGCCCTCTTGGAAAAATTCTTCAAGAAACCTCATTCGTTGTGTGGGATGAGTGTACAATGAGTCACAGATCTCATATCGAAGCAATTGATCGAATATTAAAAGATCTTAGGTGTAATAATAAGTTTATGGGTGGCATAAAATTTGTTTTCGCTGGTGATTTCCGTCAAGCCTTGCCAGTAATCCCAAAAGGTAATCGAGCTGATGTCGTTAATGCTTGCTTAAAATCTTCCCCTATATAGAACTATGTTGAAAAACTTTGTTTGCGAACAAACATGAGAGTTTATTTATGCGGAGGGGACGATATTTTTCTAGCATAGTTGTTGAAAATTGGAAATGTAACTTTAGAAAATGAAAATGGTTACATTTCTGTCAATCACACGATTGGACGGGTGGTCAATAACGTGGAAGAGTTGATTTCTACAGTTTATCCTGACATTTTTAATCTGTCCAATAAATCTTATTAGTGGTTATGTGAAAGAGCTATTATCTCTCCGAGAAATGTAACAGCAGGAGAAATTAATGATATCATCCTTCTAAAATTCGATGGACACTTACGTGAATATCTATATATTGATACAGTTACATCAACAGATGATGCTATTCATTATCCACAAGAATTTCTCAATTCTCTTTCTCCTTCGGGGTTTCCTCCGCATAAGCTGAAATTAAAAATTGATGCTCCAATTACATTATTACGTAATCTTCAACCACCGAACTTATGAACGGTACAAGATTACAAATAAAATCGTTGTGAAATAATATTATAGAAGCCGTAAATCTTAAAGGGCCAGCGAAAGGAGAAATTGCATTTATTCCAAGAATTCCCATGATTCCTTCTGGCTTGCCGTTTTCTTTCAAACGTCTTCAATTCCCGGTTAAAGTTTCTTTTGCCGTTACCATAAACAAAGCGCAAGGTCAAACATTCAAGTACGTTGGCGTAGATCTTCGTACAGAGTGCTTTACACATGGGCAATTATACGTGGCATTTTATCGAACTGGGGACCCGAATCATCTTATGATTTTAATTTCAACTGGAAATATAACAAAAAACATCATATACTCAGAAGTCTTATAAAATTCTTATTTTAATTCTTTTTTTTTCTTTTTTTTTTCTTCATCAACTTCAATTTAATTCTTTATCAACCATAAATTATTTCTTTTTTATCTGTATTTATTTTTATCATTTATAACGCTAGAAAAATTTCAATCCGTTTTCATTAACCGTTTTTTTATATTTACTTGCCGATCACATTAAACAATAATATTTGAAAAAAAAATTCTACATATCATGGTCCAAAGGCAAAATAAACAACCAATCATGGGCGAAGCTGTGACGGGTCGGCTAGTTATAATATAATAAAAACACAATTTTTTTTTAACTTACAAATTATAACATAATAAAACATACTATTTTCTCTTTTTTATTGTTTTCTTTTTTTTTCATTAGGTACATTACTTTTAAAATTAATTTTGCCGCTTCTGAGACTTGACGCCTCCGGGTATGTGCCTACCCATGCCCCCCTAAATACGGGCCTGGTGGTGGGATAAGAAAAAAAAATTTCTCGTACATTGTCCTTACTTGTATGGAAAAAAAAATTGAAAGGATTATGAAACTACCATTTTTATCGTTGTAATTGTTTATTTATACTACAAATAGTGTACACTTAAAGTATAATAATCAATTTTTACAATCACACTAATATAAAGATATATTGACAAATTTTCCTCCACATTTCACATAGAATTATATGAATATTACTTATCAATTTGTATTAATTGATCATATTGTGAATCCAACAATTGTTTGATTGAATCCCAAGAACATAAGGTACAGTCATATTGTTCTACATACATTGGCGCATCGTTAATGAAAAATGTAACTTTTATATCGTTTCCACATTTGTAGAGAACAGCCCTTATGTTTGACGAAAATGGATCCAAGTATGATGTTCTCCATTTTCTATCTTTCATGCTTGCGAAGTTAGTGTCTGTAAGATGTATCGTATCCTTGGCGTAGCCTAATCCAACAATAACGCTGAACACATTAGCCGTATGACCAAAGTAAAACACTCCTTTTGGACCGCTTTTATTTTGATCTTTATTGCTGTATTATAAAATCCTTTTTGTAATCGACATTGTAGTAAGTATTATGCTTTTATAATGTGTATGGTAGTAATACTTACTCAAAGTTATTGATCAGATCTTGTATTATGGCCATACTTTCTTGTACGTTATTCATGTTTCCATAACCGTGTGAATAGTAATATTTCAAATCATAATAGTATTCCAAAACCTATTATAAATTATACAGTAGATAATTGCTTATTAATATAGGTTAATTTCACGATAATTATTTTACTTTTAAATCATCATCTGTAAATACAGCGCACCAGGGAGAATCAAAATTAATATCTTTCGCTTTTTGGTATCGACATGCATCGTGCATTGCCTTAACTATATCTATAAAATGAATTAAATTAATATTTAAAATCATTTAAATTCTTAAATCATGGATAACTAATGGTATAGTATTTATAAATTTTAAACTTACTAAAATCTAGAAGGTTATCTAATCCCAATATACGAGCTACATTTTCTATTACTTTATGTATTTCTGGACCATTTATGAAGTTTGTCTCGAAATCTGTTACCATTGTTTTTACTCGATTAACTAACTAAAATAAATTATTTTTTATTAGCAGACAACGTTAAAGTTATGATAATAATAAAATTTGTAAAAACTTATTTTATAATATTGGTAAATACATTAAATCTGGCGTCAAATAAATCCATTTTTTCAAGTTCATTTTCATCAATTACTTTTTGGAACGCTTCATTCAGAAACATAATTGCACTTTCTTTACATCGGGTTTCTGGAGATACTATTACCTGCGAAACCATAATAATATTTTTTTAATTTTAATACGTTATGTAAGTAGGACATATTTTATATAATTTATATAATTTAAACTAAAAAAGTCAGTAAATCAAAACACTGCTGTGTATTAATAGTCATAAGTAAATTTTCAATTTTGATTTCAAGTCCTAAAAAATAATTCATTGAACCATATTTTTATCGTAGAATTTACTTATAAATTGATTTCCTTTAAAATTTTAGTACAGTGTCTATTTGACGGTTTCATGTAATTATTGTATTCGTTGTCTATAAATATTGGTAAATCTAAAAATTGTGTGAAAGAGAAACCGCTACTACGCATCAGTTGAAGCTTTATGTTGTTTTTTATTTTATATATAACCACAATTTATAACGATACATATACGTCAAGATTTATATTTTCAATTATATTATTTTAAAGTAATCCAATTTTTAAAATTTTCCATCGTAAAAATATTTTTGATGATTTAATTTACTACCAAATCGTAAATATTGTATGTTAACACCTCTAGCTAACTAACTAACCTAACCAGCACTTGCTTGGGAATTTTGCTCGTGCTAACTCGTGGTGTGTTTGGGAGCTAGGTAACACAATTAGTATATTTAAATAATAATATGGCACAATTTTTTCTAGTTATGAATGAGGGGTTGTAAATCGGTGCCCTACTAATGTAACGAAGAAAATTATATAATAATAATAATAATAATAAAAATGGTACACTAATAATAAATAAATAATAATGATATTACAGGAAACGTCATTCCACTGGAACTGCTGAGGTGGTGGTCTCACATGACATGTAAAAGATACTGGTTACGTAAAAGTTACGATGGAACCCATGAGCGTACGCAAGGGGTAGTCAGGATAGGCATTGACTATTTTCGAACCTTCTCTCCCTCACCAAAATATTCAATATTATCACAATAATAAATAACCATATTATGTTCAACCACTTCGAAACGTACGTATACGATGAACATATGTATAAGAATATTGGAAAAATATAATTATTAAATGAAATGAAGATACTCCATCCAAATCTGTTGTTAATATTAAATGTTAATATGTTATGTATGACTACCCTGCCAGTAACGTCTATACACGCTAATGGTGGAACCATAAATGTAAATCGTGCGGGGTGGCGATGGTGATACACGCATACAAATCGGTGAAAAACCGCAACGAAAACTCGCAAAACGGCAGTCTCAATAGATGTCCGTTGGGGAATTAATTGATTCCTCTTTAACTTTCGTTTTCAAAAAAAAAATATTTATCATGGAAGCGCGCGATGCTCAGATTCAAACAAAATACAAAATAAATAATCAATATTTGACGTTATCAATAATTGAGAATTATAGTATTTTTAACCATCACAAATGCGAAGTACGATATTTTTATATATGTTTTTTTGCACATACTGATTAAAAAATAAAATTATAATAATAATGTAAGAGAGATTTTAAAATTATATACATAAATAGTTTTCTCATTCATTTTTTTTAATAATTTATTTGTGTGAAATAGTGTATATAAATTTTTTATAACAAAGAATAAGTAATTAATGATTTTGATTGAGGGGGCCTTTTACATTAAATTTAAGAGGTTCTACAACAAAAGAGGTTGAGAAGCACTGACCTAGAGTCAGGAACTGGACCTATAGATTTTTTCGGTTCCGGTTTCGGTTTCTGTTTTTTAAAAGAGTGAGGGTTCTAAAACCGGTTAATGTCGGTTGATTATTAGATATTTATTAAAAAATAGTAATGTAATTTTTTCATTTCATGAAAATAGAAGGTATTATGAATAGTTAAAAAAAATAATTATAAATATATTAAATATATATATTTTATCAGCCTATTATTATTTCTTTGAATTAGGTTAAGTTATTTTATTCCAACTTATAGTAAGAATTTGTAAAATATTTTGTAATATTGTGTAATATTATGATTTGATGAAATAAATATCTTTTATTTAAAATTTAATTTTAATTAGGACTCAAAGTTAATACTGAATACTGTTGTAGCTACAAATTTGTATAAACATTAATTATATTTAATACTTAATAGACAAGATAGATGATATACTCATTGTAAATTGTAATATATGAATAAACATACAATAATAATGATAATAATATTAAAAATTCACTTATTATATGTATTACACTATTACAGTTTACAACAAAAATTAATAAAAATATAAAAAAATTTAACTTTTATTTTTTTGAAACGACAAATGGACAAACAAAATATTCATTACCATAGTTTTACTAGTCTAAATAACTGACCTAAATTAACCCTTTTATAATTAAGGTTACTTTTTTTCATTTTTGGAAATAAAGGTTTCGGTTTCAGTTACGGTTCCAAAATTTTATAGGTTAACGGTTAACCAGTTCTAGTACCGGTTCTTTTCGGTTACGGTTCTGGTCCCTGCTTAGAGCATCAAGTTTATTTTGGAAAATAACACGAAATATCTGCGTTTACGGATAATTTTGGGGGCCTATGCCAACACAGCAAAATTAATATAATTTAATACCATAGACTTATAATAGATTATTAGACTATTATAATTATAATACTGACGAAAATATAGGTAAGGAATAAAATCGGGAAAAATATTCTTTAAATAATTCTCAGTTCAGCGTCGACCGCCGTAGCGTACACACGCTTCGCGCTCGTTAATGTTATTGTATAGTATCGCACGCAAGTTGTCCGTAGCACACGTCTGTCGATCGTCATGCACGTACACTATCGCCCTTCGCTTATCGCATCATTAAATTAATGAATAATAAATCGAACCGTATTATTCAGTTTATTATCATCATTATCCGTATAATTTCCATACGTAAAAAAAAAAAAAAAATAATCTAATCCCGTCACCATCGTCGCCAAATCGGCTGTAGGCCGATACCTACAGCTTATCAACCACCATGCAACAAAACAACTCAGACACTAATAAACTTAAAAACAAATCGAAATTATCTTCGATAATTTTCACGAAAACTGCTTCTCACACGACGCAGGATGTAACTTCTCCGTCTGCCACTTCAGTTAACAACCAAGAATGGAGTACTGTTGACAACAACAAACGCATTAGGTCACCAAATAATACTACCTCGCCACGCACAAAAAAAAACAAACGAGCCGTCATTCTCCTCACCGAACCGCTACTCTCTACTCGATACCAACGTAGATAGTATGGATCTCGAAATTAACGTAAAAATAACGAATCACCTTCACCACCACCCCCTCCACCACCAATTTTCTTAACATCTCCAATTAATTTCATCATTCTGTGTAAAAACCTAGAACAAATAACGAAAACCGAAGGCTTCCTTTGCAAATCTAATTCAAAAAATATAAAAATAAATCTTCACTCAGCCAGTTCCTACCGCGCCGCGATAACATTGTTCAATGAGCACAAACTTGAATACCACACGTATCAAACACACGAGGAAAAATCCTACAGAGTCGTAGTCAGGAATCTGCATCATACAATCCCTACTGATTATATTAAAGAAGAAATAGAAAAACACGGTTTTCTGGTAAAAAATATAACTAACATCCTAAAATCTCAAACAAAAGAGCCCCTTCCACTATTCTTTGTAGACCTCAACCCATCCCCAAACAACAAAGACATCTTCAACATAAACAATATATGTTTCACTAAAGTCAAATTTGAAGCCCCACACATAAGACGAGACCTAGTCCAATGCCATCGCTGTCAACAGTATGGCCACACAAAAACATATTGTAACCACCTGCCTAAATGCGTCCGTTGTGGCGAGAACCATACCTCGGACCAATGCTCCAAATCTATGGACCTACCCGCAAAATGCGCACTTTGCAGCAAGGCCCATCCGGCAAACTACAAAGGATGTGCTGTCCATAAAGACCTCCAACGTTTCCGTAAAAAAAAACAAAAACCGACCACCATCTCAAGACTAATAACAGAAAACTCCGACACACCTCAAGTCTAACCCATCAGCCAACCTCCTCCAGGAACATCATATCCATCCAATGCTCCCGCAAGATCTCTAAACGAACTCATCGACACCCATCGGCACTTATCTTTTTCACAAGCGGTTAAAGGTAACAATTCAAATAAGCTAAAATCAAGTCACATAAACGACCCACCCCCCGATCAAATATTAACAAGCCAACTTACAACTTTCATATCCGAATTTAAAACTCTAATCTCTCCCCTCATAACACTTCTTAATCCACTAATCAATAAACTAAGTACTAACAATGGAAACTAATCTTAAACTTAGATTACTTACAACGCAAACGGCATTATACCCAACTTGAACTTCAGGCAGCCCTCAATATTCATAACATAGACATAGCAATGATATTCGAATCCCACCTAACTCCGACAAAATCTATTAAAATTCTTGGATACATAGTTTATCAAAGTAATCTCCCTGACTCCACTGCTCACGCTGGATCGGTGATTCTAGTTAAAAATAACTTAACACACTCCCTTCCTCCGTCTATTAGTGAAACATATCTCCTAGCAACAAGCATCCTAGTTTCCGTCAACAAACATCTTAATCTGTCTTTCTCCTCCATATACTACCCTCCAGGGCCTAAAATTAACTCAAACAATTTCATAAATTACTTCGAATCTTTAGGTAAGTACTTCATTGTCACCGGAGACCTTAATGCCAAACACTCTTCTTGGGGCTGCCTCTCAACCAACCCAAGAGGCAGAATCCTTATAACTCAATAAATAACTCCAACATATAAATAATACCCCCCTCTAACCCCACCTATTGGCCAACACATCAAAACCGCCGCCAAGATATCCTCGATATCGTCATCGCAAGAGTACCAAGTAACGCCATTACTATTATCTCCAACACAAACGACCTGTCATCCGATCACACACCAGTCATACTCGACCTCGAAATTCCCTGTTCAAACTCTTCCGAAAATCCTCAAAATCTTGGAAAAATAGATTGGCCAACTTTCCAACAACTCATCAATACTC